TGTTGTTGGTGCCCAAGAGCTATAAATAATTCAATACACCCAAACTGAACTGAGTCTACAGCTGCACATTTTACTTGTGGTTCTGATGACTTGATCTTTTACCTTGTGATCTACATTGGTGCCAAAAACCCTTGATAAAAATGCAGCCTTATCCTGATAGGGACTTTTGGCATTTTACACAAAAGGTCAATTTTACCTAAGTGATTTAGGAGTCTATGGTCCAGTTTCAAAAGTGATTTAGCCACTTGAGAATCGTGGTCTCAGCATGACTCAGGGAACATCAGAATTAGAGCTGGCTGGTGTGCATTTCAGCTTGAGGAGACATATTGGGATTGGTTCCAATCAAGCGAGTGCACTAAAAATAGAACGTAGCTGCCATGGCGTGAACAGCAGAAGGTGCTAACTGCCCCAAGTACGATCCCATCCGAGATCCTAGGTACTTACTTGGGGAGACTAGCCCCTTCTGCCACTCATGTCACTGTTGCTACACTTCTGTTTTTAGAAGTGCACTCGCTTGATCTGCGCTTAGTACAGATATGTCTCCACAAGCTGGTACATACAGACATACCCTCAGGTCCTAAGTGCCTAAATCACTTTTGAAAATATGATTTAAGCTCCAAATTCACTTAGGTGTCTTTGAAGGCTTTGCCCTTTATCTGTAGACTAAAGAGTTGTGATCACTGGTTGAGAATTCTGACCAAGTGAAAATGTAGCAAAATCACATTAAAAGAAATAATTTGTCACCAGGCCTTTCCTTTAGAAGCTTTTTCAGTGATCTGCTATCACCTATTGTTGCTGCTAATGCTCTTGAGGTGTGTAACTCACCCTGTGCAGAAAAAGACAGCAAGAGACCCAGGCCTATGCACCACTGAAGTCTAAATTATGCCCTATGTCAATGGTCCCCAACCTTTTGGGGCTGCCGGGCGCCCGGTGGCGGGGCCATTCATGCACCGCGTGCCCGGGGGTGGCACTGCGCATGCTCCGTGCACCTGGGGCGCAAAAATAGCTCGGGCTGGCCCTGGTTACTGGGCGGGTGCCATGGCGCCCGCGGGCACCGCATTGGAGACCACTGCCCTATGTAGAGGACTGATGTGAGGTTCAAGTGTTGCACAGGTGTGGGGCTGCCCCTCCACCAGCAGTGACTGTCACCAAAGGCAATCATAAACTTTTCAGATTGGAGTTGACATGGACAGAATCATCTTTCTGAATTTAAAAAAAACCCCCAAAACTGACTTTCTGCTCCAGCCTGCATTTCCTAGGGAAACCTCTCATGTGTCGGGATCCGCTGGTTATAAGGAGTTCAGTGAGACTCGGTGAATACCAAGACTGTCCTCTTGATGGGCCACTGATTTTCATATTGCTTCTCCCTACCAACCCTACTGAACAGTTTTCTTCTGTACCATACACAGCATGTGTGGCTGGATTATCACTGGTATTCATGACATTGGAAGACAGCGGGGACTTGTGGACAAATCAGAACCTGTGGGGTGCATTGTTAATAGCACAGGACTGGGCACAAAGGTAGGATAGGGAGGAGTATTGTCTCTCAGGCCAGGTCTATACTGGTGGAGAAAAGTGACGCAAGATAGCTACTCCAGCTATATGAATTGGATAGCTGGAGTTGTTGCACCGATTTCCTGGGGTGACCCCACAGCAGGAAGTTGACCGGAGAAATGCTCCTGTTTACTTCCCTTACTCCTTGTGATGGCAAGGAGTACCAGTGCTGACATGGGTGCCCTCAGTGATCAATTTGGTGGGTCTTTACTAGACCTGCTAAATTGAACCCCAGAAAGATTGATTGCCAGAATATTGATCTCAGCCATTAGAGTACAAGGGATTAGTACAACACTGGCAGCTTATTAGCATCTAAGCACTTGGGAATGTGGGTTGGCTGTTCCCGGAGGGGAGGGATGGGGCTTGAGCCCTGGCTCTGGAGGTGGGTAACTTATCCACTGTGCCACTTGGGGAGCCACCCAACCTCCCTATATTCTGTGCCCCCATTATCCTTCCTTTGTTCCAAGGGTGCCTGGTTTATCCATCACCAAGCTGGCGGTGGCTGTTCCCAGGGGGGGCTCAAGCCCATGACCTCTGGCTCCGGAGGCGGGTACCAAATTGTCCCAATTCCACACACACATTGTCCCAATTCCACACACACAGATGTCTTTTGTGCAAAAGCATGCGTGCCAGTGTAGACGCTCTCTTGCACAAATACTTTTAACGGAAAAACTTTTCCGTTAAAAGTATTTGCGCGAAATCATGCCAGTCTAGACGCAGCCCTCTAGCTTAAAGATTGAGCATGTTGAAATGCAGAATTCCAGTGTGAACCAACAGAAAACATGGCAAAAGCTCTGATCCCTGATCATGTACACATAAGTACTTAGACGTCTTGCCCTCAGTGCTTGGGACAGAGTAGAACTAAGAATATTCTGTAGGGTTCCTGTCCTGATTTTGGGGAAGAGGGTAGAAGAACTGCACTCTGGACTAATGGCTCGTTCTGCAAGCCAGAATTTGCCACACTCTAAATATGAAGCAATTAAGGATAAATCTTCACCTGTCACATCAATTGCTGTCCACATAGTTTTTTACATAATGGATGGTGGGCCTACTTATTTACCCCTCCCTAGGGCAGATCTTGGAAGGCACAGGCTAGTGAGTAGATAATCGGAGAGTGGGTCCAAATCTCAGAGTTAATACTTCTCCTCTTCTTTAAAACAAAATGAACGTAACTCCTCCCATTTCACACATATACACAAGCTCACATACATTTTGTAAACTGCCAGCTTCAAAGTACATCATCATAAAGACAGGACTAATCTTATCCCAAGTGCAGAAGCAAAGAGAAGACCCAGGAGCTCACAGAACAGTAGATCTGATTTCTGCCTCTTTAAATTTCGCCACTATGCTTATTAGGGGTGCTAGAACAATCTGAATAGCGGGGGTGCTAAGAGACATTGGCCAAAACAGTAAATCCTGCATATAACCACTTCAAGTCAGGGGTTTTGCAGCACCCCCAGCATCCCTAGTTCCAGAACCTATGCTGCCTATTCTAAAAATCCATCAACAAAAGAACACATGAGCTGTCACTGGTCACACCACAATGAGCTGGCTGTGTGGTGCTTTCCAGGCCATGATAGCTGATGTTGGGATGGAACAGGTCCTCTCTGTGCACTTTGATCCTACCCAAGGCACATCAAATATAAGTACTTGCATATATGGGTTCTCCTAACATACCCACCCTAGAGGTGGAGGAGAGATATCATTCAAAATTTGTTTCAATGAATTGTGGGCATTAAAAAAAAAAAAAAAAAAAAAACATTTTCACAAAAATATTTTGGCTTTCTCAAAAATGTCAACATTTTCCAAACATATTCTCTAAACCCTTTTAATTTTTATTAGTTGTTTTTGTTTTCCATTTCTTATTTTTTGCTTTCAGTTATTTTTAATTGTCTGTGTTTTCTTATTGCCCCCGCCCCCTTTACCAATGTTAACTAGCCTGTTTAGTTATCAGGTAGGAATTTATAAAATCTACCAGTTTTATTTATAAAACACATGATTATTGAAAGCACTTTAATTTCTAAAAATTGCCTCCAAATTAAAAAAAAAAACAATAAATTGATCCATTTAGAAAACAAAGCTCTCTCAACTTTTTTTAATGTTCCAACAGCTCCATTTGCAAGCAAAAGGAATGAAAATTCACGTACAGAAGGTGGCACTTAGTGTGAACACACTCATTTGGTAGCTTGGATTTGCCTGATTGTGGAATACATAAAAGCCAACTCAAGCTAACAAAAACACAAGCAGCTTAGTGAGAACAAAAGATAAACAAATCAATCCTGTTCTGAAATGCCCCTAAGAGCCTTAATTTCTTTTGGCCAGATTAATAAAACAAAACCAACAAAAAGACCTATTGGAAAGGAAAGGAGAGAGGATGCAGGAAATGACTGGCAATGCCCCTATAATCATATTGAACGAGAAGGATTCTTTTTTTAAAGCAGGTACAATACTGTCTCTTTTCAGCACCGTAGGCCTGGAAGTCAACACATCCCTTTTTTTCCAGAGCAAATTCTGTTTCAAATGGATTGCCTCTTCTCCCTAATTGCTTTTGTTTAGATGACATGGATGTTTCTTATCTATCGACCAACTGGGACATGTGATGTGAACTATTCATGTAACAAATGATTGCAGATATTGGCCCTGAATTAACAAATGGTTTTTTCCCCTTCTCTTTCTCCCCTCCCTACAAATTTGTCAGGAAATGCTTCAGTCAAGGGAGTAATTCTCCATACTTCTTCACATAACTAGTCAGTGAAAGCATCCCTTCTGACTTTCATTTTAGTTACTCCATTGGTGCCTTCTCCCCTGCATTCCTTCCACCCACATCTTCCAAAGCAGGAACTACTGGAATTTCTGGTGAAACTTAGCTTCCTTGCATGACTTATTCCTCCCCAGTTGGGGTTTTAGATGCTAAATTAGTTACACTGGGATCTATGACCTGTACAATGAGAGGAGCAGAGTAGAAAGGGGATGCTAGATAGGACAGAAGCTGGAAAGAGAGACACACGCACACACAGAAAAAGAGAGAGAGAGTTCTAATTGTGGATTCACAACTATATCATACAAGACTTGAGCTCATGGGGAATGGATTTTCATTCTCTGCATCTGACCCATTCTATTCCATCTGTATAGATAGTTCTTCCAAATGGAAAGAAGAGATGTCCAGTGAAATGGGGCAGTTTCCAATGACAAGATGTGAGGTGGTCTTATTTGGCATACATGGACACAACGCAAGGCATCACTTATTCCTCCCTTGTTCCTTCCTTGTTCCCCTTTTCTCCTCCGCCATGGCTTTTGCCCAGTGGTCTTTAATTTCCAAAATGGAAAAATAAAACAAATCCAACTCAAATAAATACTCAGGAAAATCAACTGCAAGGCCTCCCACGCCACCCTTCCCCTGATGGGTCTTTCCTGATATCCGCCATCCTGAATTTTCCATTGTTCTGTTAGGTTAAAAAAAAAAAAAACCTCCAGCGAAGGAGATAGGCTGTCTCGGAACTTGTGCCTTCCCTTACACTTATGCAGTCTTGATGCCATTTTCTTGGGTTACAAACACAGTATGGATGGATTGTAGACGATCACATTTCAATGTTTTTAAATTTCTTTTAAAAAAGAAAAAGGAAAATAGAGTTATACACACACGTATCACAGCATTTTCAAAGGCCACCCACTGCGTCTCTGTTAGCAGTTCAGCCTCCGTGTTAAGCCTGGATGTAAGGCAGCTGGAAGATTAAAACGGCATTGTTAGAACATCCACTGAAACGTCCTTGTGGTTTTTTTCTTTGTTGTTCCATTTTTATTTTATTTTATTTTAAGTTTGGCAGGCAGAGAGAATATTCTCCCCTCCACCATATGTTCTATCAATTTTGTCCTCTATTTTTAGGCAGGAAGAAAAATAACAATGTTATTTGTTTTTTAAAGGGGGTAAGGGTTTAAAAATGGCCTTGAGGAGGTTACATTCTAGAGGCGACTCACATGGTTGATTTGTTTCTTTGCTTGTTCATTGTATTCTCCTCTTGGCTTGCAGTGGATACTTTTTGGTTCCCCATGTCCTGTACAGGCTCAGGTTTCACATCCTCCATACAACCTGATTTCCCCCCACCCCCCACCCCAGGTGACAGTCGATAGATGCAACAGTATTTTCACTTGATCTGTAAATTATGGTACTGAAGTTAAGAGTTGTATGGAAGAGCCATGTTACAGAAAAGCTTTCCCATTTCTGTGAGAAAGAATGAAGCAACACAAAGTCCTGTGGAGATGCATGTGCCATGTTGAAACTCAGCTCTACCTTGGCGCTGGCATCAGTTTGAGATAAATATAGCTATATATATATATGTATGTACGTATGTGTATACATAGCTATATATATACACACACACACGTTTGTTTGCTAGTTAGTTATTTTAGCACACTGTCCCATTCTCAGGTCTGGATTTGGGGCAGTTGGTCCTGGGGACAGGTTGGACAGAAGGGGCCAGGGTGCAGAAGAAGCCCGATATAAGAGTGAGGCCCAGGCCTCCCCATGCACAGAACATTGACCAGCCGTAGCCATGACTGATGTCATCTGGAAGTCCGTACAGGTAGCGAGGGTAGCGGGAGAGCTCAAAGTTGATTCCAGCCACGCATGTGCACAGTGAAATGATGCAGAAGGTACCTGGAGAAGGACGAAAGAGGGGAAGAAGGGAGAGAAAGAATAAAGAAAGGTTAGAATGATAAAAACAGCATTCCCCAGCTGTCTGAAAAAGAGGCAGTGGGATCAATAATAAGGTAATATATGAAAGGCTGGGGCTGGAAGAACTGCTATAAAAAGAGGCATAGTCAAGCATTGGGTGCCAGGAACTGCTGAGCTGTAGCACAAGCCCTGACTACAGCTGGCTGGGAAACTTCCACTGGAATATGTGGTTCCACCAAAATCAAGTCACTCTATGAAATCAGGGCAATCTCACTGATATAAAAAGGGAAGGGAAGGTCTGACAGTGTCAAAAGATCCCATTTTGAACATTTTCTGAATGAAATGCTTGGGTTTTCATTTTACGTGACTTTATAATGCAACATTTGAAAGCTGACTATATCAATTTTCTCAAAACAAAACGTTCTGGACCACCTGAAATGACACTTGAGGGATATTTTTCTTCACAGAGAATTTTAAAATGTTTGCTTTGAACTCCCATACAGAACATTTTACAATCTCCAACTCCTTTGCAGAATGGAACATCCGTCCTCCTTGCCACTGTAGCTTGCATTTTGTCTCTTTCTGTAATACTGGAGAAGTCACTGAGACTTGGTCTACTCTAGACAATTAGGTCAACTTGGCTACATTACTCAGGGGTGTGAAAAATCCATTCCTCCAAGCAACATAATTAAGCCAACCTAACCCCCAGTGTAGACAGCACTAGGCCAATGGAAGAATTCTTCTGTTGACTTAGTTACTGTCTCTCTGGGAGGCAGATTACTAGGCTGATGGGAGTTTGCATCAGCATAAGTAGTGTCTACACTGAAGTGCTATAGGGATGCAGCTGCAGCACAGCCGCTCTACTCCTACAACGCTTCATGTGTAGACAAGCTTGAAAACTTACCTGTGTCATGAGAAGCTTGTGTGTGTAGCTCTGGCAGATGCTAGGTGTTATGGAAAGACACGACTCTCATTTTAGTTGAGGTGTAGTTGAGCTACTCTCCGTTAATGAGCTTGATTTTCTTCTTTGACCCCACCCACAATTTCACCAAAATTAAATCCAGGCTTCTTGAACTTTCACAGGAGCTATCGATCTGCCTATAGTATGGTCTTATGATGTATCACCACAGAATCTGAGCACCTTTCTCTAGCAATGGTAGATTCTTGGTTATACTGTGATTTTGGCTAAAAAATCCTCCTTACTTTCTCCCTCCCCAACCAAACAGGGCTATGTTATTTATTATTATATTTCCCTTTCTCTCTCTTTGTCCACATTCTTCTCTTACTACTCTTCTCTCATACTTGCTTTTGCCTCTTTTTCTTCTTTTTTAACCATTGCGCATTCCAGCTAAGCAGTGAATTGTACACACTCCATTCTGAAGGCATGTGTGGAATTATGCTAGAGCAGAATATTTTTGGAATGGCAGAAGGCAGCTAAACAAGGTGTTGGAGAGAACACACACTAACAGACATAGACACCCCTGGCACACTGACATGCCAGTATGCCAAAATCCCTTTTAGTGGCTACAGAAAAACAAGTCTAGGATCTCCATATAAATCCCATCTTTGCTACTGTCATCCTATGTGACCATAGACAAGCCACTTCCTCTCTCTCTACCTATTTCCTTCCTCCCCCTCTTCGGGCATTTCAGCAGTGCACTCAGAGTTGACTGCAAGATGGGATGGCATACCCAAGTGAGCTTTAATTTATGAAGCATGACCAAAAAGAGCAGTGGCACAGGCATCATTTCAGGTTCTATATGAATTCTGGAGAACCTTTGAACGAACTCACGTTGCTAGCCTATGCCCTGTGGCTTCACTGCTGTTTTTAGCCGTGCTGGCTAGATTGGAGCTAATGCTGGTAAGCCTACCTGAGCTGTAATCACACTCTGGTTGCAGTACAACTTTTATCTCTCTTGACTATTTAGATTGTAAATTCTTTGGGGCAGGGACTCTCTTATGATGTGTTTGTAAAGCACATAGCACAGTGGCCCCCAAATTGTGGGGCACACCCTATTAGGAGCATGGAGGAACATCTGAGGACACAGCAGGGCCCAGGTCAGTCCCACAGGAGATGGGGAGGGAGAACCACCCAGTCCCACTCTGCTTCTAGCTCCATTTTATTCCAGCCCTGGCCCCACACCAATCTCCAGCCACAACTATGGTCTGGTTCCACTCCTGGCTCCCATTCCTGGCTGTGGCTCTGCCCCAGCCTGCCAGCCCTCGGCCACAGCTTCAGTCCCAACTCAAGCTCTGCTTCCAACCGGGGGGAAGGGGCGATGGTGCAGACACATTCCATTACAGGTAAGGGAGAGATGCAAGAGGAAAATTTTGGGCACCACTGACCTAGCACAATGAGACCCCACTATCAAGTGGGGCCTCTTAATGATATTGTAATAAAATAAAAAACAATAATAATGAAAATAATCTGGTAGTGCAAGAAGGCTTCCTCCATCTCTGAATTTACTATTGGCACTCCCTGTGCTTGGGTAACAGCAGCAAGGAAATCCCACATTTATTAGAAGTTGGAGATACACCTTGCATGGGGTAGGGTTGTTGCAAAAGGAGTCCCCTCTTGAGCAAGCTGCCAGAGGAATCACTCCCCCCTCCTTACTGCTCCCATATTAATACTTAGTTCTGGCTCGCAATTTCTTCCTGCAAATGCCTGGGCATTCAAGCCATTAACCCTTCAAGTGCTGCACAGCACTGAGCGCACTGGCCAGCGCTGTACAGAAGGCAAGGCTGTGACCACAACGATGGAAGATTTTCCTTTGATGTGAAGGCACACACAAAAAATGATCAAAACTGGCCCCAAACTTTTTCAGGCCTGATTCTCACTTGCACTGGGGTCCCTTACCTTATTCTAGGAGTGTACCCACTGCCAGAGACTTCACTGTAAGTAAGCTAACATCGGACTCTTTGAGCTAAAGGTTTCACAGCCCTCTTGAAAGGAAGAACTGCTCTGAACCTCTCCCTGCTCTGAGGCTAAATGAAGACCAACAGAGACCAAGGCCTCAGTATTGTTTTGTTACTGATTGTTTTACCTTCCTGCCTTCCACACATGTAACCCTGGCCCCATGCATTGCCTCTGTAAAAAAATGAAGCCCATCTGCTGATGCATCTGAGACTATCTATCAGCACGATCCACATTGCCTTGGCTTCTTTCTAGACAAACCCATGAAGCCAGCTGCCAGCAAATGACTTCAGAATTCCAGCTATTCAGCCTGCACTGCTGCCCATGACAGAAGGTCATTCAGCCTGCTCTGTGTCCCCTGTCCTGTGGGAAGCCAACCTTGCTGGCAGCTGTAGACCTGTCAGACTCACTCCTCTCATGCACGGATGTTGTCCTTGGTCCAAAAAGCTCCTGGCAGGAGAAATGGAGGAGTTTGATTTTCCACCTCAATGTTAGGGGGGAAATGTGTTGGCATTAATCCCCATTTTCCCCTCAAAAGAAGGGGGTGGGTTGAGGGGAACTTTGCCTGTCTGACCAAATTCTATACATGGTGTCCAGACATTCCTGATGAACAAACAGTTATATTATGGTCCCTGTGATACTGCGCCTCATATTCTCCGTAGAGATGTGCTTATGATGCAATTATAGCTTCATATCTAAGATGTATTTTATGTGAGATGAGGCGTGTAAGATATCATTGGAAAGGTTAGGATTTATTGACTAGAATTATCCTTTTTGTATGGATGTATCATTTCTGAATCTGCAGTTTGGAATACTATGTATTAATTGCAAGTGTATTGACAACTGGGGAATGCTCACCAGACAGAATGCGAGCAGTCTAGATGGCTTGCTGTGAGGACGAGCCACTAGAGAGAACAACAGGTCTCAGAAGATGTTTATCGCCCACAGAGAAGTCTTCCTGGGGATGCTGCAAACAAACTTTGTGTTACAGCTGCAAGATCAAGTCACTTGATACTAGACCCCATGATAAAATTATAGTACATTTCTGATGACTGGGGGTGGGAATTACCCTGGAAGACAAAGGACTCCTGCCATATATAAAACTTCTTTAAGGCAGGGGAGGGACATAATCATGGGTCATTCTTCACTGAATCCCCACCACAACATCAAAGAGACAAAGACAAAGGCTGGTGGGGGATGAAGGAAGAATTGAACCCAGGCTGGAAAGGTGTTGGGCCTGTGAAAGAAATACATGGAGTTTTAAGCTTTAATCAGGAGCAGCTTGCTTTTAAAAAATCTCTGCAATCTGCCTAAACAATATTTAGGGTGAGAATATGCTACCTATACTAGTTTCTTCAGTACCTTAAAGCTTAGTTTGCATGCGTGTTTTATTTGCTGGGTAATTTGCTTTAGTCTGTTTGCTATCCCTTATAATCAATTAAAATCTATCTTTTGCAGTTAATAAACTTGTTTTTGTTTTCTCTAAAATCAGTTTGTGGAATTCATAACGTGGGGGGGGGGACGACGATGGAATACATAACTGTGTGTATCTTCCTCCACGTTGAGGGAGGCAGCAAATTTCAATGAGCTTATGTTGTATACTTTTCTGTGCAGTGCAAGATAATACAATTTTGGGTATAGAGAGGTGTACACTAGAATGCTGGGAAATTCCTTAGCTAAGTTTTCCCATTCAGATCTGATCTCAGCATCTGTGTGAAACTGCAGCTGTGTGTGTCCCTAACAGTGTATGTGCTGTAAGGGACTAGAAAAATGTATAGGGAACTCAGGCTGTGCGTAAAGGTGAGCTCAGTGGTACCCCAGTTCCAAATGGCACTCTGAGGGAATCTGTCACAGTCCCATTGCGCAGTGTGATCTACAGACATAGATGAAGAGACAATTCCTATCCCAGAGAGTAGATATCTAAGGATGATCTCAGATTAAATGCTCCAGAGCTTTCCAGATATCTTGCAGAGAGACCCCAGGTTCTGGGGTCATCTTTAGAAAACTGTCTCCCCATTTGAGAATTAGCAGCATGAGATATAATGTATTTGAGGGTGGGGGCTCCTTC